TTTGGTTGAAATTGACCCAGTGGTTCTTGAGAAGAAGATGAAAATGTGAAAAGTTTACGACAACGACAACGACAACAACGACAACGACAGACGACGGACAAATTTTGATCAGAAAAGCTCACTTGAGCCTTCGGCTCAGGTGAGCTAATAAAGAGTACACCAAAATAACCACCCCTTTTTTGCAATTTTCTAAGCGCCCGGGGCGGTTAATAGGGATTATATGGTATTTCAGTTTGCCACTGATTCATTGTTTGAAACTTAAGGGTATCAAGGAAAAAAACCTCACAAAGACAGTGGGCGATAAAAAGCAAGCAGACCAAATATCTGTACTTATTTAGTTGTGAAATGAACTTCAAATTAACTATACGGATTCTAACGAAGATGCTCCTAATAAATCTTGAATCAATGCTGAAACTCAGTCAAGGAATGATTTTTTAAGTCTCTAAATTATTGCCCTTGTTTCCTATTTCTCTTTCTGATGTTAATTTTTTTTCTAAAGTAAGATGACTAGCAAGAAGGTATATGTGTATGTCATAAACTCCCAAGTTTTTTTGTTTTTTTTTAAATTGTGGTAGTCAGTGAGAAATAGATAAAGGAAAGAAAAGATATTTTTTGTTTTGAAGACATGATAAATAGAATCTGTTTTACAAACTACAATCTTTGATATTCATCTTGTTTGTTGTACATGTAGAAGAACTGGTTACGGTTGACCTACCGTAATCTATAAGTTTGATCTGTCCTTGGTCGTTGATGAGGATGTTGTGACCTTTGACATCGCGATGAATCACATGGTTCTTGTGTAGATGATGCAATGCTTTGAGGGTCTCTCTAAGTATGTGGGCAATTAGGTCCTCCTCCATAAACCTGCCCTGCCCAATCAGTTCCCGGGCTAAGTGGGTCACAGAGCCGCGCCCACACAGCTGTTGATAGAACGTCATACTGGTCAGTTTTAAGTTCCTCAAAGTTATTTGTTGTAATATGCCTAGAAACTTAAAATTCCTATTTCATGAAAAGAAAATCACAAAAGGACCAAGGAACAATTATTTAGTGTTGAAATTTTGATCCAACACTCCCATCACTCTAAATCCTAGGTGTGCATATCCCAAGTGAATGCCATTGGGAATGCAGATAAATTAATACATGTTTGCATGCACAGCTGATTTTTCTGCATCAATACCCAGAGAAACTAAAGAACAAGTCATAAAACCTCAATTTCCATACGAGGAATGTACATGTATGTACTGGTATATAAACCAAATTTTTGCACTTGGAACTATTAACAGAAAAAAAATAATGAATCATATAAAATGAAAAATTTGATTTTCTGCATAATCAGTCATGACAAATTAAACATGATCAATCAATTTTTCATTGAACCCTCAAAGTATTTAGAATTTTTAACAGTTTTATTTACATGTGATATTAATCAACTGCTAGTCCTAGAATTATTCTACTAATTTTTCACTTAGGTATAAATCATGTGTCAGTTTGAAGACTAAATGAAATACATCTGGTTTGTATTATTAATGCTGATTCCAATATACCGGTAAATTGAAAGCTTTTCAGTGACAAAATAATCAGAATTGATAAAATTTGGCATACTGAGTAAATTTGTTGGTGGTGTCTCCATATTGTTTGGCTTGAAATGGCCGGTGCACAACTATCACACTGACTTATAGATTAGCAGAATATCAATGTGACATATCCACTTTAAAACTTAAATTTTATGTGCGTGTGTGTGTGTGTGTGTGTAAATGCATGTTAACCTGTTACTTTTGATCCCCTACAAATCATCATTTCTATCACTGTTTTCTTCTCTTTCTTTCCTTTATAGTCTTGTTTGTCACCCTCCCTCAATTTCTTTTTATTAACCATCTATTGTGCCCTTGACAGAATGTCCAAACTAAGAATGTCCAAGTCTGTTTTACTTCTTGTTTGTATGTTATAAAATATATTTTATAACTAGAATACAGCACATAGATTGTTACACTTGGACCTCAGTAAAGCATCTACCCACAGTTAGGAACAATGAGAATTAATCAATCTGTAGGATTTCATTACCTTTTTAAGTCTTTATACACATAGATTTTACTTAGAGAAGATGACATTTGTAGCAAAAAGATAACATTCAAAGTCATTGATCCAGCAACCATCATATTACAAATAACACAGATAAGGAAAGAAAGGGTCTGCATGAGGAAAGCTTATAATCCTACACAGCATTCATAAAATAGTTTCTTTTCCATTATTTAATAAAGCATAATGTGCAAAGTTGTTCAGAGTTTTATTTAATTGTCTTTATAGATATAAAAGACCCCACTTTTAGCAAAGGACATAAAATAGGATTAATGTCCCTTTTATCCAAACTAGGCACTCTTTGGTTGAAGTTTTGAATGATGTGGGCCAATGGGAAATAAAATGACCAAGAAAAGACATTTACAGAGATTGACAGAGGAGTTTTTTTAACCTTGAGAATTGATCCTGAAAACTGGTCCAGGGTTCTACAATTTACGGTTCACAATCATTGTACACCCTCTACACATCATAGACATCCCTTTGGTTTAGGTATGATTCCAACTGGGCTAGGGGACCCAACACATACTCCTGCATAATGATCTTAAACAGAAAAGGAGGTTTCGTTTTGTGGGCTCAGTGCTCACAGTACCTCTAGTTTACATAGCACTGACCTCCATTGCTATCCAGACCTCTGCGTCAATCCCGTTGGTGGGGGGTTTGAGGTAGATCCCGTGGAAGCGTGGGATGTTGGGGTGGTTCCCCTGATCCCTGAGGACCTGGTACTCCTCCTCTATCTCCTCAATCATCTCATGTATGGACTCCAGTACCTTCATCGCCACCACCTCCCCTACAAACCAGGAAATGTAGCTTTATCTATTGTTTGTCAAAAGTGAATGTCTCTATATCCTCTTCCTTTTGATTTCCAAATATGTTTTGATTCCGTGCATATACACGTCTGTGACTAAGCCTGTGATGTGGTCATCCTTATGCATTTCCATTAAACATTTTAAATGTAACCTTTTCATCAAGAAAAACATTTTACAGTATATGCCATATGCAGTTCTCCAAAACTGATTTATTTTACAAAAACCATAATATCAAACTTTAATTTATTTATAAGCTTAAAGCATTTTAAATGCTTTAAGCTTATAAATTAAAGAATTTTTGCTTTTTAAATAACTGATATTTATTTTCAACAGATTTCTTTTCCTTAGTCATGTATTAGTTATCATGTTTATATATGCTTTGATCACTACCATATTAAGTTAAATTACAAACTCAAGATTTTCACCATTTCCTACATCAAACAAGCACCACATCCTTGTTAGCTTTATAACCATGTTTTTCTTTCTCATGTGTAATACTACTCACCAGACTCTTTGTGTATGGCCTGGTGGATTTCCCCGTACGTGCCCTCCCCGATCAGTCGCTGTAACTCCCATGACGTCCGGGGGTCAGGGAGCTCGGAAAATTTGATCACTTGGCTGTACTGGTCAAGAATGGACAGCATGACCACACACTCTACCGGTCAGCTCTGAAAAGGGAAAACACTGTCTGAGTCAGAGGGATAAGAGGAGATAAGCATTATCAGACATAACACACCTATATTTTATGCTTCACCCTGTCTTTTTGATTTACATCAATTTCTTGTTTTGATGGTCAGAAGGAAAGATGAGATGGTCTGAGTAATCAATTTTATCTCATTCTGATAATTTACAAGATGTACGCTCTAGCTGAGTAATCAATTTTATCTCATTCTGATAATTTACAAGATGTACGCTCTAGCTGAGTAATCAATTTTATCTCATTACTTCTGATGATCTACAAGAAGATATTTTAACAACCTTATATATTAATTATTATATTTGATTCATAAAAAAAGTTGACATATCCTTTAATCATAACTATTCTATCAAAACTGCCTTAGACCCTAAAATTCAACTTACAGTTTATCATTACCCTAAAGTTATTTCCCCTCTGAGAATGTGCAACAGAGTTATTTATTGTCTATGATATTGCAATATCTAGCCCTTAGCTTAGACTCATATCATTTCAACATATTCAAGGAAAATGAAATCTTTATCAGAGAGTTGATTTCAAAAAGATGTAAATAAGGAGTCAGCAACCTGCCATATTTAGGTAGAAGTCTTCAGACCTTGGGGGGATTTAAAAATCTCAAAAGCTTAATATAAAACGTACACAAAAAGATGTGTACACCCACTATGTAAACTTGACAAATCTCCAAAGTCTCATCAGCACGGATTTCAGGCAGAAAGATTTTCAAAGAAAGCACTATAAGAAAATACTGTTCAGCATGAAAACTCGTATTCTTTATTTAATACATGTGTAAAAATAAAATATTTAAATTTTATCTAAATGCATTCAAGTCACATGTACAGTCTTATATGAAACAAAACCCAGTAAGAACCTAAAGAAAACAGATACACAGAACTCTGTGAAATTATATATATATAAACAGAATTCCCCTAAGAAAGTTAATTGGGTCTTTTAATATTTCATACGTCTCAATACACTTGGGATAATTACCTTCAGACAAGATAACAATTGACCCCACTAATAAGAATCAGAGGTAATTGGTACACTTTAAATGTAAGTAGAATCATTATGTAACATTCAACATAAAACACTATAGTGCATTCCTTGACTTGACTTTCTCTATGGTACATGTATAAATAAAAGAAAAAAGTGATAAAATGCACAAAATTCTCACATTTTCTAAACTGATACCAATACATCATATTAGTGCCATTAGGTGTCCACATAGATAAAATTGATATACTACACCTGTATAAAATCAATAGCCATCAAACACACCCAGAAAATAAGTACATTTCTCCCTTAAGCTGAGCACCTTTGCTAGAGATTTATCTATATTCAGGTGTGGGGGCCTAATATTGATTTTTATTCCAATTTATCTTGCAGTCATGCACATTTTATTATCCTTGGTATTTTTCAAGCACTACACTGATAAGACGTTATTGCATTCAATAAAATAGATGTAGCTGACCAAAAAATTTAGTATATGATCTCAGACTAAATATTCAATTGCACAAGATATATTACAGTTAATTAATTAAAAGATTATAAAAACAAGATAGTCAGTTTTTTTTAATTAATTTTCAAAGATTATTAATTTACTTATAAGTTAGAATCACTTTAGTTCATTATAACTGATTGTTTCAATCTGTTAAAAAAATCATAACATGCCAACTTTTAACAATTCAAAATGTAATTTAATGAAGTGAAAAAAGAACTCATTTGATAGGCCCATATTTTCAAATATTTCATCATGACAGAATACACAGAACACAACTCACATCTTCTACTCTTTTTAAAGACACACACATGATTCTAAACCTCTAATTCTTTCAATTTTAATATGTTGTGTATATTCAGCTAGCAGGCTAAATCTTTCTTTAAGCTTTTAATAATGAAACAAATTTCCTCCTTTTATGAAGTCAGAAATTATTTACCACTTTTAATTAAAGAAGCAAAGCTACTACAGTAACTTATTGCTCTTTCCTTCCACCCTCCCCTCTTTTTCTGCAATTTGTATTAGCACTAAGCACAAGCAGTTGTAACATCGATTATGTACATATTTACGTGTGCATAATACTTAAAATCAAAACTCATTTCAATGGGAAAATAAACAATAAATACATATTTTCAATAGCAAGCTTTGATTGTCATGAAAGTTTCAGCTGTTTATGACAGTTTTGAAATGATAGGGAGGGGTCACTAATATAACAGAGGCCGTTCGGGTTAGACTTACCTTTCGTTGCTATTGTGTTGATTTTTTTGTTCCGCTTCCTTCTATAAATTACAAATCTTCCGATATACGATCCATGTTTTGTTTATATCAAGTGCTAATAGCCCAATCCATCACATGTTGACAAAAACAAACCTGTTTTTATTTTTGGTTCTCGTGTAAATACGAAATCTCACCTGTCACTTCATTCGCAACTCCTCGGACCTTTCCCATTTCCATTCAAAGAAAAGGAGCGGATCCAGTGTTACCTATAGAAATTCAATTTAATCTAACTTGGGAATAGTTATAGAACCCCTACCCCAACTTTATTTGACAGTTGTAATTTGCCAGACTTAATTATTGAATGTTCATAAAACAACAGGAAAGTAAAGATTTACAATTAACATTTTTTTTTCTTCTACACTTTTCCAAGAACGGAAGTTTAAAACGATTGAGTGAACCGCAGGCGAAATTTGATGGGAGAGTCTATAAGCCCGTGAACTCGATAACAGGTAGTTAGAATAATCTAACTGTGTCTCGGTACAGGCCCTCACCACAGTTAGAATACGTCCCATATACTTGTAATGTAGCAAATCGGAGCGGATCCGCTCCGAAACGATTTTGAAGAATATAAAATGATTTGCACTGGGAATAACTACCAAAATAATCAAAACAAACCTTCTTGAGATTGCTTATGCCTTTTATCCCAAAAAATAATCCATATAAATACGAAAATCCAATTAATTTTCTCAACGTTTTTCTCTCGATTCAAATTACCGACCATGTTTACATTCGGAACTCTCTAGATTGTTCCAAGTAAATGCACTATGCGAGTTATCGCCCGTGTTTCTTTCTGCTACATTACGAATACACGGAACGAATTCTATCGTTAAACCGGGTCCGTAGGACAATATCATTTTAACGATAGAACATTCTATCTAGATAACAGGAAGCCCGTGATTTCGATTGTAAACACACGAACATTGATACGTAAGCGGTTTATGTGTACTTTTCTTGATGTATTGATTAACAGTCAAAACATAAGCCCTACTTAGTCTTTTGTAGGAATTTAAAGCGTTTTTACAATTTCTAAGATAGTGAACATGGTGAACGTATGTATATTTCAAGTAAAATAAAATTATATAATGTTTAGAGTTAACATGATTATGGATAAACAGCCTGTGACTTCATTGACACAGTACTGAGTATGAGGCTTGTGACTTCACAGACATCCTACATAGTACAACTCTGATGCCTGTGATTTCACCGACATGCTATATAGTACTGAGCTAACAAACACATATATAGTACCTAATTAAAGGCCCGTGACTTCACCGACATCCTATATAGTACTGAGTATGAGGCCCGTGACTTCACCGACATGCTATATAGTACTGAGTATGAGGCCCGTGACTCCATCGACATGCTATATAGTACCTAATTATAGGCCTGTGACTTCTCCGACATCCTATATAGTACTGAGTTTGAGGCCCGTGACTTCACCGACATCCTATATAGTACTGAGTATGAGGCCCGTGACTTCACCGACATCCTATATAGTACTGAGTATGAGGCCCGTGACTTCACTGACACCTAAGTATAGGCCCGTGACTTCACCGACATCCTATATAGTACTTAAGTAAAGGCCCGTGACTTCACCGTCATCTTATATAGTACCTAGTTATAGGCCCGTGACTTCACCGACATCCTATATAGTACTGAGTTTGAGGCCCGTGACTTCACCGACATCCTATATAGTACTGAGTATGAGGCCCGTGACTTCACCGACATCCTATATAGTACCTAAGTATAGGCCCGTGACTTCACCGTCATCTTATATAGTACCTAGTTATAGGCCCGTGACTTCACCGACATGCTATATAGTACTGAGTTTGAGGCCCGTGACTTCACCGACATCCTATATAGTACTGAGTATGAGGCCCGTGACTTCACCGACATGCTATATAGTACTGAGTATGAGGCCCGTGACTCCATCGACATGCTATATAGTACTGAGTTTGAGGCCCGTGACTTCACCGACATGCTATATAGTACTGAGTATGAGGCCCGTGACTTCACCGACATCCTATATAGTACTGAGTATGAGGCCCGTGACTTCACCGACATCCTATATAGTATAGGCCCGTGACTTCACCGACATCCTATATAGTACTTAAGTAAAGGCCCGTGACTTCACCGTCATCTTATATAGTACCTAGTTATAGGCCCGTGACTTCACCGACATCCTATATAGTACTGAGTTTGAGGCCCGTGACTTCACCGACATCCTATATAGTACTGAGTATGAGGCCCGTGACTTCACCGACATCCTATATAGTACCTAAGTATAGGCCCGTGACTTCACCGTCATCTTATATAGTACCTAGTTATAGGCCCGTGACTTCACCGACATGCTATATAGTACTGAGTTTGAGGCCCGTGACTTCACCGACATCCTATATAATACTGAGTATGAGGCCCGTGACTTCACCGACATGCTATATAGTACTGAGTATGAGGCCCGTGACTACATCGACATGCTATATAGTACTGAGTTTGAGGCCCGTGACTTCACCGACATGCTATATAGTACTGAGTATGAGGCCCGTGACTTCACCGACATCCTATATAGTACCTAGTTATAGGCCCGTGACTTCACCGACATGCTATATAGTACCTAAGTAAAGGCCCGTGACTTCACTGACATCCTATATAGTACCTAGTTATAGGCCCGTGACTTCACCGACATGCTATATAGTACCTAGTTATAGGCCCGTGACTTCACCGACATGCTATATAGTACCTAGTTATAGGCCCGTGACTTCACCGACATGCTATATAGTACCTAAGTAAAGGCCCGTGACTTCACTGACATCCTATATAGTACCTAGTTATAGGCCCGTGACTTCACCGACATGCTATATAGTACCTAGTTATAGGCCCGTGACTTCACCGACATGCTATATAGTACCTAGTTATAGGCCCGTGACTTCACCGACATGCTATAGAGTACTGAGTTTGAGTCCAGTGACTTCACCGACATCCTATATAGTACCTAAGTAATGGCCCGTGACTTCACCGACATGCTATATAGTACTGAGTATGAGGCCCTTGACTTCATCGACATCCTATATAGTACCTAGTTATAGGCCCGTGACTTCACCGACATGCTATATAGTACTGAGTATGAGGCCCGTGACTTCACCGACATCCTATATAGTACCTAAGTATAGGCCCGTGACTTCACCGACATCCTATATAGTACCTAAGTAAAGGCCCGTGACTTCACCGACATCCTATATAGTACCTAGTTATAGGCCCGTGACTTCACCGACATGCTATATAGTACCTAAGTAAAGGCCCGTGACTTCACCGACATCCTATATAGTACCTAGTTATAGGCCCGTGACTTCACCGTCATGCTATATAGTACTGAGTATGAGGCCCGTGACTTCACCGACATCCTATATAGTACCTAGTTATAGGCCCGTGACTTCACCGTCATGCTATATAGTACTGAGTATGAGGCCCGTGACTTCACCGACATGCTATATAGTACTGAGTATGAGGCCCGTGACTCCATCGACATGCTATATAGTACTGAGTTTGAGGCCCGTGACTTCACCGACATCCTATATAGTACTGAGTATGAGGCCCGTGACTTCACCGACATCCTATATAGTTCCTAGTTATAGGCCCGTGACTTCACCGACATCCTATATAGTACTTAAGTAAAGGCCCGTGACTTCACTGACATCCTATATAGTACCTAGTTATAGGCCCGTGACTTCACCGACATGCTATATAGTACCTAAGTAAAGGCCCGTGACTTCACCGACATCCTATATAGTACCTAGTTATAGGCCCGTGACTTCACCGTCATGCTATATAGTACTGAGTATGAGGCCCGTGACTTCACCGACATGCTATATAGTACTGAGTATGAGGCCCGTGACTTCACCGACATCCTATATAGTACCTAAGTATAGGCCCGTGACTTCACCGACATCCTATATAGTACCTAAGTAAAGGCCCGTGACTTCACCGACATCCTATATAGTACCTAGTTATGGGCCCGTGACTTCACCGACATGCTATAGAGTACTGAGTTTGAGGCCAGTGACTTCACCGACATCCTATATAGTACCTAAGTAATGGCCCGTGACTTCACCGACATGCTATATAGTACTGAGTATGAGGCCCGTGACTTCACCGACATGCTATATAGTACCTAAGTAAAGGCCCGTGACTTCACCGACATCCTATATAGTACCTAGTTATAGGCCCGTGACTTCACCGTCATGCTATATAGTACTGAGTATGAGGCCCGTGACTTCACCGACATCCTATATAGTTCCTAGTTATAGGCCTGTGACTTCACCGACATGCTATATAGTACCTAAGTAAAGGCCCGTGACTTCACCGACATCCTATATAGTACCTAGTTATAGGCCTGTGACTTCACCGTCATGCTATATAGTACTGAGTATGAGGCCCGTGACTTCACCGACATCCTATATAGTTCCTAGTTATAGGCCTGTGACTTCACCGACATGCTATATAGTACTGAGTATGAGGCCCGTGACTCCATCGACATGCTATATAGTACTGAGTTTGAGGCCCGTGACTTCACCGACATCCTATATAGTACTGAGTATAAGGCCCGTGACTTCACGCCCCTGTATCACGTTAAATGATATGAGGACATATCGCATACTTCACTCAAAGTTTCCAATAGAGGAAGCAATTTTTTCAGTCTTAATTCATTTTATTTCATTTCTTTTAATTTTCCTACTCAACCACTGTACGTACAGGTACAATTATCAATGCATGATATCCAGTACTGAATTTAGCATAAACAAGATATCAAGAAAACTGCAATTAAGTATTTATTTTTCTGTAAAGGTGTGTCTTTGAAAAAAAAATCACAAAGAAGGTTTACAATGTGACTTTGTATTTTTGGCTTTGTATGTACCAATTAATATTATCATAAACAAAAATACATACCAAGCCACCTATTAACACCTCCGAAGTTATACACTCAAGCATGATATTTCACTTGAATATATAGAATGATACATAAATATACATGCTGAGCGGCCTATTACCGGCTCCGAGATTATCAATCACACATGATATTTCACTTGAATATATAGAATAGATACATAAATATACATGTTGAGCGGCATATTACTGCCTCCGAGATTATATACACATAATAATGATATTTTCACTTGAATATATGGAATAGATGCATAAATATACATGTTGAGCGGCCTATTACTGCCTCCGAGATTATATACACATAAAAATGATATTTTCACTTGAATATATGGAATAGATACATAAATACACATGCTGAGCGGCCTATTACCGCCTCCGAGATTATACACTCACACATGATATTTTCAATTGAATATATAAAATAGATACATAGATATACATGTTGAGCGACCTATTACCCCCTCGGAGATTATATACACATAATAATGATATTTTCACTTGAATATATGGAATAGATACATAAATATACATGTTGAGCGGTTCATCCGAGTTGATATACACATTATAATGATATTTTCAATTGAATATATAGAATAGATAAATAAATATACATGTAGAGCGGCCTATTACCGCCTCCGAGATTATATACACATAATAATGATATTTTCACTTGAATATATGGAATAGATACATAAATATACATGCTGAGCGGCCTATTACTGCCTCCGATATTATATACATATAAAAATGATATTTTCACTTGAATATATGGAATAGATACATAAATATACATGTTGAGCGACCTATTACCCCCTCCGAGATTATATACACATAATAATGATATTTTCACTTGAATATATGGACTAGATACATGAATACACATGCTGAGCGGCCTATTACTGCCTCCGAGATTATATACACATAATAATGATATTTTCACTTGAATATATGGAATAGATACATAAATATACATGCTGAGCGGTTCATCTGAGATGATATACACATTATAATGATATTTTCAATTGAATATATAGAATAGATACATAAACATACATGTAGAGCGGCCTATTACCGCGTCCGAGATTATATACACATAATAATGATATTTTCACTTGAATATATGGAATAAATACATTAATATACATGTTGAGCGACCTATTACCCCCTCCGAGATTATATACACATAATTATGATATTTTCACTTGAATATATGGAATAGATACATAAATATACATGCTGAGCGGCCTATTACCGCCTCCAAGATGATATACACATAATAATGATATTTTCAATTGAATATATAAAATAGATACATAAATATACATGTTGAGCGACCTATTACCCCCTACGAGATTATATACACATAATAATGATATTTTCAATTGAATATATAGAATAGATACATAAATATACATGCTGAGCGGCCTATCACCGCCTCGGAGATTATACACTCACACATGATATTTTCAATTGAATATATAAAAAAGATACATTAATATACATGTTGAGCGACCTATTACCCCCTCCGAGATTATATACACATTATTATGATATTTTCACTTGAATATAGAGAATAGATACATAAAAATACATGTTGAGCGGCCTATTACCCCCTCCGAGATTATATACACATTATTATGATATTTTCACTTGAATATAGAGAATAGATACATAAATATACATGCTGAGCGGCCTATTACCGCCTCCGAGATTATACACTCACACATGATATTTCACTTGAATATAGAATATATAGTTAATATTACTAAATGTATCGGCAATGGATTAAAAGTTTGACAATAACTGTCTAAGATGAAGACTGCAAATTACTAGCATGCAGTTTTGTAAAGATTTTAATCTTTTCTTTTGGCCTTTTTCATAGAAGTTTCTGTTTCTTTACATCTTTTCTCTGCCTCTTCCATTGGCAAGCCAGTTCGCAAGCACACACCAAAGACTATAGCCTCTTTCATCAGGACATGAGTTAGGTAATACATGCCACAACTGAAAATGTATATAAAATATACTTAATAAATATTTAATTAAAAGCATTACCCAATACGTAATTAAATCTGTCTGAATGAAAAAACAATTTTAAGGTGACACTTAAAATACAAGAACCCCACAGGCCACAAGTCTCACGTGTGTTTATATGGTTTTCTTTTCCTTCATCATCTGTTTTTTTTTATCATTATTAATTTTCCAATATAAAACTTTGATCACCAATTGTGGTCATAACCAATCCCCAAAATCACAACCAACAGTGATCTTATTTTCATTACTATATTGTGTGAGATTGAACTTTCATTAAAAAAAACAGACTTTAAATCATAAACCAGTGATAAGAAAAATTAATGCAGAGTTTAAAGCTGATATTACAAAATATTAAGCTACTGGAGATTATAACATTCATGCACATGATAGCCAAGGGCAGATGAAAAGGCCTCAATAACTATCATGATTATTCTTTACCTGGGGGAATGCAGATGATAGACAAATAAATAAAAATAAAAATAAATAAAAAACACTTACATTGGATTTTCTCTCAACAGTTTCTCAAGTATATTATTCTCAAGAACTGTAAAAGTGTAGTATCTTGTGAATATTGTCCTGAAAAGGTATTCAAATAATGTATTAGAAAATTCATTAAATATTCCAAAATGAAGGGTTCCTCCTTCTTTTAATGCAAATTTATAGACCCAAAGACAAAATGAAAAAAAAAAAAATAACTATACACCTATATCATACATATGTAGATAAGACATATAAGATACATACTATATGTGTATAGTAAATTCAACATTCTGAAGATTCTGAACAAATTCGTTGTTGGAATAATGAAAATTTGACAAATTTATCTCAATTCAGATTTATTTTCTTCAGATTAAGTTGGATCTTTAAACAAAGTACAATATTATTTACCCAGGCATCAGTTTGCTGCAGAATATATGATCACTAAGAGTCATTTGTAGATGCTGAACAACCTATTTAAAGAAATAAAGAGATACATACATTATTGTTGAAATATGATAAGACATCAAGCCAGTAATGAAATACATATAGAAATGTATTCATTATTTTTTAATAAGTATACGTGCATATTTCATACAGAATGTATTTGATATTTGTTTGATAATTTTTTCTTGATAAAATTATCTAATAAATCACAATAATAAGTAAGCAAATAATTTATCATATATACTTACATTTGCTGTAAAATAGGATTCACCAAAACCAAAGTTAAGTCTCTGTTTTTCATAATATGATATAGGGTCACAGAGGAATTCGTGGTGCCTCTTATGATTTGTTTCCATACTACACAAAGAAATTAAATAGTTGTTTAAAAACTGTAATGTTCAGTCAACGAATAAGAAGTAATATTATTTTTTAGTATATATTATATAATAAATATATATCTAAAAATTCAAGTACCATTCCAATTCTGTACAGTTCATGATTTCAACAAGTTCTCTCTTTATGCTGGCCATCTACAAATTGAATACAAAATATTTCAGCTAGAGTAAACATAGCCCCTTTAGACATAATTTCATTTAATTTAAGCAAGAGGTCTGTGTGCCATATTCTTACCAGAGTCTCTTTGGACATGCTGTTCAGTAACAAATATAATCTGATAGTCAAAACTTTTCAATACCCTTCCCCAAAGAGGCTGATTGGAACAAATACTAATTCTATTTTACTTTAGGTGATTCCATGTCATATATTATTATTATAATTATTATATAGAATAACTCCTCTCTCTATACCTATAGGGCAAATGATCTAACACTGCAACTCTGGCATCCCAAATACACAATATACATGTACATGTTAATATATTACACCTGGTATTACTATCTCTTCAAAATGGGACTTGAACTAACTTGCTTTAAAGATGTTGGGAATAACATAATCTGAATTTCATAACTTATACTGAGAGTACAGAAAAGTAAGAATCAGATGATGTCATCATTTTGTTGGCTGACAATGAAAATGAGAGCTCTTGATTTAACAGAAAGAGAATTAAAACAAAAGAAAAAAACTCTTCCTGCAGCATTGAAATATCAGATTTTTTTTTGCCTCCTAAACAAAGAACTACAATTAATTATTTTTTTTTTTACAAAATGTTTGAACCCACAGTGTGGCCTGCCCTTTGTAAGATAGTGTTTTAATAAATAAAATAATTTTTATAAAAACACTATCTAACAACAATAATGATTTCACTAAACTTGAATCAGTACATTGTGTCTGAAAGATTTCACATAAATTTCATCATTTCTCAGCAAGTTTATTAAAAAAGCATCCATTTTTTCAGATTGTCTCCCCTTTAAAGAGAACTATGATGGTCAATTCATTTAAATGATGGTTAATTACCTGTTTATCAACAAAGGGAATATCCACTCCTGAAAAGAGAAATGCATTGATATTAAATCAAATATACACTACTTATAAATTTATTGCATTCAGTTAATATATTGTTTGTATTTATTGGATTGATTTTATGAAATAATAGAATGCACAAGCTGGGCACAGAGGGAATATATGACCATGGTACTTAAATAATTGGAGTCAAAACTTTAAAGTTCCAAAATGAGACCACAATAACTTAATATATCTTTGGGTTGTAAATACTTGCCCCCTTCAAGAGCCCCTCAAAAGATGGGTACATGTATATAACAACTAACAAGTAAAAATTGCTTAAAATCTCATTACTACATAACTTTTGAGCACTTTATAGAACAAGGGTTTTCATATTCTTGTAACTATAGACCTTCCTTTGGGATCCAAAACTTTTGACATTGACCTTTGGGGTAGGACATGCATTGGAGAAAGTTCAACCCTCGCCATAGGCTGCTTATGCATTGAACTCAGATTATTTTTCTTTTACTTACTTTTTGTTTGTAATTTTTTCTCATCATCCTCATCATCGATTCTAGTTCTGAAAAAAATTGTACAAATTACATTAATATAGAATATCTACGTGAACTTTTATACATGTACATGTACATTTTTGTGAGAAAAAGAAAAATATCAACATTAATAACCCCTTGCAATTAAGTTAGGAAAGAGATAACAGAAATGTGCATGTGTGAAAATGGGGTGGGGGAATGAAAACATAATGTAAATAATAAATCTTATTTAGGTTGAAGTGCCCTTTTAAGGGGGATGCTCTGTTTTATAGTGTCCTCATTATACCCTGCAATTGAGTTGGAGGGGATATAGAAATATGCTTGTGTGTATGTGTGCCAGTTAGTTTGTCATTTGTGTGAAACAGAAGTGACAAAATTTAAATAAAAATCGATATAAATGCCAGCTGCCTTGATCGATATGCTCTTGTGGGAAGGTTCTTGTTAGAACTGCAGTTCTATTTTGGAATAGCTTTACTCATAAATGAGTCCAAAACAGTCTGCAAATTCAATTATTATGTTCTAAGTAAATGTAAAAATGCACTTACTTCTTTTCATCCGAACATGCTTTCTTTCCTAAAGCAGGGTACCTTTAAAAAATATATATGAACCAATGAGCAAGGTGAATAAAGATAATTTCCGTAAGAACCTTTAAAACTAAAATGATTACATAAAATGTCTTTATAACGCCAATTTCGTTTCTAATTGTTTTCTCTGTGATAACTCTTTGAAATTTAGAGGAGTTGATTTATTCATATTTCTATAAGAAGGTTAATTTCGCAAAGTGAATTAAAGTTCAGGAGCCTAATACGCATGTCAGTCTCTAAAAATGCAAATGGGTAGTATTTCTTCATTATGTCAACAATTTAAAAACATTGGTGGGAAAAGTTTGTCAGTTTTCATGTAAAGAAACATTTATTAGAAAAAAAAATGGAATAAGGGTTTCGTAGCCCATCTGAACTGAAGCTTCAAGTGACCTTTTCTGATCAGTCTCCAGAATCTGGACCAAAGTCATCAATTTTAGTACAAACAAACTTGGGTACAAGGAATTCAGGTTCGTTCAAATAAAGGTTAGTTAAAAATGTTCTGTTATGGATAAACAGGTATTCATCCATGTCAACACTGATCTCTTCTAAAAACTTGATTTGCCAGGTGTCAAATACATCTTTTAAACAGATTTTTAAAAAAAATATCTGATATATAGTCAGTGATTTCATGTTTGAATCATCAGGAATAAAGAATTATATAGGATCTCCCATGGTTTGTGGTTTGATATGATTTTTATCCAACGAGTTGTGTGTTTTCTATCCCCGAGCCTTGGCGCAGGGATAGAAAACACACAACTAATTGGATAAAAATCATATCAAACCACAAACAATGGAAGATTCTTTTTATCACATATTTTTGTTCACTATAAATGTGTGTTTTGTCTTTATTTCTTATTCAAAGTTCCTTTTCGGTTACCTCGGACCAAATAACGTAATAAATAAAATTACACTGTATGAAATAGTTTGTATAAATATATAAAAGAAAGAAAATATTTCAGCACTTATTTTTGTAAATTCATTAATGAAATCTTGTTAAAATACATAATAAAGTGAAATTTGACAAATTAAGTCATTTTCTCCATCATACACATGTATTTGTTTATTTACATTACGTCACATGGCGTAGGAATACATAGTGTTGAGACTGAAAACGATATCACATGAGCTATATCAACGGGATAAAGGGGAAAATATGTGATAAAAATATATATAGCATAC